GCTCCTACCCCCATCCTCAATTCAGAATAAGGAAGAGTTGACTCATATCACATTAGTCGCATATATTTTAATTATTTTCATGTTTTTAAATAAGTAAAATATACGAAATGGAACACTTCATTTATTTGTAAACTGAAAGAAGAATTATCACAGTTATGCTCCAACAGTAATTTCGTATTGTCATTCAGTACGAGTAAAAGCCAGAGATTTTGGCCACCAACCAAATGACATAAAACTTTTTAAAAAGTCAATGTTTTATTAACCATTACTGTAAGGTTCACGAATTTAAACGGTTCACAGTAGAGTACATACTTAAAAGACACGTGATATTTAGAAAGGCAGACGAGGCACTTGTCTGTTCAGAGAAAACTTGACAGCATCTTCAAACCTGCATTGTTATTCAAAAACAAGTGCAGCTTCTGAGTCTTCTAATGATGAATAAATATATTGTTTATCGATACTTTTTAAATAAATATTCTACAGTAATATCCTTTTAATTATTTTTATCATCAGTGACTATATCATTAAATTTTCCATTTATTTGTGTTCTGAGTTTTTTTCGGTTACATTTGCCTCACTAATCTGGATGCCCCCCCCCAATTAAATGACATTAGCGAGGATTTATTGTAATATATAATCATGTATAAGGGGTGTGACTATAGACGGGGTTCGGATTTGTGACTTGATTTATTGACCACTTATAGACTCATGACTCGTGACTACACCTTACAGGTCACTGACACACACAGACTAGTGTTCTCAGTTAATTACAGTCTGCAGTAGCCGTTACCTGGTGTTGGATTTTAACACAGGAACTAGAACAGTATCGCTGAATTACACACTCCAAATACCATACATGAAGTCTCTTCACAGCCTGAATTCAACTGAACTCTCTTCCAATTGACTTTGTCTATTGCTTGTAACATCTCGACAAGGACCACGCAGAAACACCACATGTCCACTGTTGCAGTCCAACTGTTGTATTGTTAAGAATCTGCTGCCTAGCAACGGGAATGTGTTCACTGAGCCGTTGCCCAGAAATGGTCGCTCTTTACAGGGTCACCACTTAGCAAGAGATTTATACGCTGAAAAATATTCGCGTACCTTGAAATTTTAAAATTCAATCAAAAATACGCTTTGAAAATTAAGTAGGTAATTTAATTGTATTCGTTGGAGTTTAAATTTAAGCCTGCATCTCCCACCCTGTTTCTCTATAATAGGTTTTTGTATTATCACACATAGTAGTGGCTACAGACGGGGTTCTCGATTGGATGATTAGATTTATTGCACCTTACACATTCAGACATTTCAGTGCTACAGACAATACAGCACTATCGCTGATCTACACACTTTCCAGTTCATCGTTGCACACGCACTAGGGTTGGCTCCCGTCGGAATATGTTTACCGAGTCGTTGCCTAGCAATGAGCCTATACGTCACAATATTATCGTGCAATATAAATCGATATATTTCAAGTAATTTATTTCTTTTATGTTTTCTAAAAAAATTGTATAATCTTTTCTAATTTTTTGACTCGTGCCACATATTCCCTCTTGTAATCTTTCTTGAATTAATACCAGATCCGCGACACAACGGAAGAATCTACTTGATAAATGGGCCGCGCCATAGCTCAAGCGGTTAGTCGCTGGCTTCCCACCGCCGCTGCCCGGGTTCGATCCCGGGTCTGGCCAAGTGGGATTTGTGGTGGACAAAGTGGCGCTGGGGCAGGTTTCCTCCGAGTACTTCGGTTTCCCCTGCCAATCTTCATTCCACCAACTGCTCCACAATCACACTCACCTATCATCTGGGGCTGGTACAATAGACCGGAAGTGGCCGCAGCACAAGGGACTTAGTCCCACCCCACTAGCAATAAAAACATTACTTGCTAGATCAATCAGTCAATCAATCATCCCACCATACGAAGGTATACATTTAGCCTGGATAACCGACAGCGTCATAAAATAAACCACAAGACATAAATAATTATTCATTATTATCCTCATGAGCTCTTCTTGAGAAGCCACCAATTATGCAGTTACTCAGGAATTTCCCAACAATTTTAAGGAACCAGGTTGTTCTTTGCTCTGTTCACAAGAGTCCTCCACTGGTCCCCATCGTAAGCCAGATCAATCCAGTCTATAACACTCCATCTTATTTATCTAACATCCATTTTATTATTATCTACCCACCTAGATCTACTTCTTCCAGTGGCTCTTTTTCTTCTGGTTTTCCCACCAAAATCCTATATACATTCCTTATCTCCTCTATGCTTGCTACATGCCCTGCCAATTTTATCCTCCTTGACATCATCATTATAATTACGTTCGGCTTTGAGTAGGAAATATGAAGTTCCTCATTATGCACGTCACTTCATCTCTCTTCGGTCAAAATATTCCCCTCAACACCCTGTTCTCAAACACACTGTCCATGTTCCTCCATTAATATCAGAGACCAAGTTTCACTTTCATACAGAATCACAGGCATAATTATAGTTGTGTGTACTCTAATTTTTACGTTCTTAGACAAGAGACGAGAAGACAAAAGCTTCTGGACTGAATGGTAGCAAGCATTGCCCTAATTCAATCACTTATTAATTCCCTTCTGAATCAAGTTTTGATCTGTTACTGTCGTTCTCAAATATCTGAACTGTGCCACATTTTCAAAGGATGTATTAGCTATATTTATGTTATGATTTTGCCCTGAATTCTGGTGACGAGATAGCAACATATACTTAGTTTCTCTGTGTTTACTTCTAGACCAACCTCCTTCCTAACGTCAATTAAAGTTTGTGTGTTTTTCTTTATTATGGATTTCTTTCAATTGACCTAATCCTTCCAGCCGCACTATGGGCCTGGAGTCGACTCAACCTCTAACAGAAATGAGTATCAGGAATTAATTAAATAATTTTCCTGGGGTGTAAAGCGCGGCCGGCGAGTAAGGCTGACAACCTTACCGCCATCTTTGTGCCGATTGTCTAGATAATGTGGGACCCTCAACGTCTCACAACCCTGTGGGCCTTCAGGGCCTGGTACAGGGATAGTTTTACTTTTTACTTTTATCACCCAGTAGATTCACATCATCAGTAGAGACCAACAACTCATGTGTCCCATTTAATATCAGTCCTACCTGGTACGGCGCTTCGCCATATTCTCCTCAGCACTTCCTTCTCAGACGTTTTATATGCTCCTGATTCCGAATGCGTAAAGTTTCACAATCACGTGGCAACGGACACAATTAGAGTCCATAACAAACTAGCCTAACAGCCTTAGATGAAAATTCAACGGGTAGTCTTACCACTTGTTACAGAAGCTTTCGTACTATTTACTTGCTGCTTGTCCCGTGTTCCTTTCCGTGTTAACAGTGGATACGCCGAAGGTTACGTTTAACGCCATCACCCACGAATGCCACACAAAAGTAGTCGATTGTAAACCGTCTCCTTCACATAGCACACCTAACGCATCACATCAAAATATTATGAATACTCAGATAATATACACCAATACATTTAATCGAAATATTGCTCACTCGTTTGTGACCAATTACGTAACTTGAACCTGCATCACTTATACACAATCACTTCCGTCTTAAACTGAACTTTATATACAATTATTCCTTTACATAAAAATAAAATTAAAAGTTAATGTTAAAAATGTATATATACTTCTGTCGTTTTCGGCCATTCTCAGGCAACTCTCTAACTTGTCATTATTGCTACACTGTATTTTAAATTTAATTAATTAGCTAACTGAAAGTAACTTCACGGAGCTGAGCCCTTCCTGAGAAGCCGCCAGTTGTGCAACTACTCAAGAACTTTCCAACATTTTATGGAACCAGAAAGTTCATTACTGTGTTCATATCTTGAGCCAGATCGAGCCGGCCCATGCCACCCCACCCCATCTCTCAAAGATCCATTTCAGTATTATCCACCCACCTACGTCTTTGTCTTCCTAATGGTCTCTTTCCTTCTGCTTTTCCCACCAACATCCTATATGGATAAAACTTCAACCCCATTCGTGCTACATGCCCTGCCCGTCTCATTTTCCTTATTTTGACTGTAATTAGAATTAATAATTTCCTAAGTTAAAATATTTCAATATTTTCATTTTTCGTCATTCACTTATTAAAAGACATTTGTTTGGGAACACCACTCATTACGTTTCCATGCGCTGCCTCCTTCCTGCGGCCTCAGGGTTTTCTGTAATATGTAATGGTGTGTTGTAGTTTAACGAGTGGGTGACGAAAACTTAAAACATTGAAATATTTTAAGTTAGGAAATACTTCACTTTAATTACACTGAAAATACAGTGTAGCAATTTTTGACAACTGGTAAAATTGTCTGAGGATGGCGGAGTACGGCCGCAACATGTAACTATTTGCACTATTCATTTTTAATTTTATCTTTTAATTTTATTTTTAATAGAGGAGTAATTATAAATAAAGTTGCATTTAAGAAGGAACTGAATGTGTATAAGTGATACATAAATGCACCAGAATGCTGAAATTAAATATTATGTCCATGAAAATTTTAGCTCTCAAGAATTCCTTGTTAAGTTTATATGAAATCACATATAACTTCTTAATTTTCATTTTGCTGTTAAAGTTAAAGCTATTCCTGCAACAGACTGTGGAGGCCCATAGGGTTGTGAGACGTAGAGGCTCCCACATTTTCTAGACAATCGGCTAAAAAGTGTGGGTGAGTTTGTCAGCCTTACGCAACGGCCGGCAGCCCTTTATCCCCCGGAAGATTACTGGTACTCATTTCTATTAGATACTGAGTCGACCTCAGGACCATATTTCGGCTGGAAGGATTAAGTTAATTGGAAAAAAAATCAATAATCTCATCTAGAATCGAACCGGAGACCTTCAGACTTGTAGCATAGTGCCTCAACCAACTACACTACTGCGTGCCCCCAGTTGCACGTTTACAGTATATTTTTGAAGTTGAATACGTCAATACTGTCACAAGAAAAGTGACTGGATCAAGCACTTGTGTGACCTACCTCGATAGCCTTCCTTCTTCCCTTTTGCTCGCAGACATGTGTAGACTTCAAATGTCCTGAGGGCACAAGCACACGCGAGATGGCAGCACCGTTCGGACCAATGTTTCAGCAGTGAAGATTACTCTACTTTTGGCTGTTAAAGTTGACTGTGCTTATCAATTGTACATATACGTCAGTATGCTGACTCGAAGCCATTCCTCTCGTAAGACGACGCCGTGAGGTATCAACTTTCGCATGAAAATTGTTTGCACAGGCTTCCAGTCATGCCGCATCATACAGTAGGGGCTCGCAAGGCATGTCCGGCTAACTACAGATAAACTTATTTACAGTACAATCCAATTTTTTATATGAAAGTCAGTTTGTTATTAGTTCGGTTGTCTGTTTGCCTGTGCATAAAGAAGGTAAAGAAAGCTATCCCTGTAAGAGGCCATGGAGGCCCATAGGGTTGTGAGACGTCGATGCTCCACATTTTATAGATAGTTGGCCCAATGATGGTGGAGAGTTTTTCAGCCTTATGCGCCGGCCGGCCTATACCCTCTAGCAAGATTCCTGGTACTCATTACTTTAGAGGCTAAATTGATCCCAGGGCCATAGTGCGGCTTGAAGGATTAAGTAAATTCAAAAGATCCAATGACGTAATCGAGAATCGAGCACGCGACATACTGGACTGTAAGCACAGCCACTCAGTAGTTTATTTCTGTTTTGGCTCTAAAAATGAACTTGATGAATCCGTCTCCTTGTACATGGCAGATAAGTGCAGTATTTATTTCCGAACCTACATGGAATGGTACTGTTGCGTGATAGTGTAATAATAAAATGGGGTGGGAGTGGTAATAGGATTTGTTGAACACTTACAGACCGTAACAACAAGTAACTATAGCGCTATCGCAATTTCACACACTCTGCAGTGAACAACAGCACGTAATAAATATTCTCAGTCTGTTATGTCTTCACCAGTCTTTGCCTGTTCACGGATACAAACAATGTCCTCTGCTTCCGTGCTGAAGTTCTTACTGGCTGGAGACAATCTCACAACTCACTAAATTCTAGACTTGTCCTGCTTGTAACATGTCGGCAGGGACCGCACAGAAAACACCGTTACTCATATTGTTGCTTGCGCGTCCACTGTCGCGGATCGCCCAGAAAACACAATTCCTCTGTTGCTGTTTACGGGCTGTTGCCTAGTAACTGATCTACATACCACAGTGTTATATTTTCGCTGCCACAGCCAAGAGAACATCTATTCTCGTCAATGAGAATTTCTTTCATTCTCATTAGATCCGAGTCTTAACTACACGTATATATACATCGTATGATTTGACATTACAAAACAAGAAGTTCTGAGAAGAACTAATAGCCTACTTTCATTTCATACTCTTGTCACATGTTTTTGTGAGTGTAACTAATAGACGGGATTTGAATTGGATGATTGGATTTATTGACACCCTTTACTCACAACTCGGGACTACAGGAAATACAGCGCTACTTCAGATCTACACACTTTACAGCTCACCGTTACACACTCACTAGGGTTCTCAGTCTTCACTAGTCGTATCCTGGCAACGGATTTCAACACAGTAATAATACCAGTTTCACTGTAATTGAAGCACACATGAAATCTTCTCTGCACAGCCAAATTCCTTTCTTCCCATTTTTCTCAACCATCCTCCACTGCCGTCTGAAGACACTCTCCCAATTCTCATTTCAGCTGACCTAGGATCCCAGTTATATAGTTTCGGATGGCCCCAAGAGAAAACACAGTTTCGATCTTTATAGTCCAACAGTACTTCTACTGTTGCTTACGTATTCTTTTAGTGGGAACAGGTCTACGGTGTCGTTGTCTAAGAATTAACGTCCACTACGGCTCCGCTATTCCGGCTTTCAGGCGTCATGTCACACTGTTCTCGAAATGAACAGTCATTAATTCCTTTTTATTATTCTTTCCATGATCTCAACAAACCTCATAAAATATTTGAAAACCTTCCGAAGTTGTCTACGTGTCTCGAATGCGCAAATATGAATATACTGAATGGAACCACAAGATCACCATAACGTGATTCCTTGTTTTTTTTTAAGCAGATCCAAACGTAAAAACGATAAACAAACCCTGTAACAGACCATGAAGGCCCATAGGATTGTGAGACGCCGAGGCTGCCACATTTTCTAGTCTGTCGGCTCAGAGATTGCGGTAAGGTTGTCAGCCTTACACGCCGACCGCCCTATACCCCCCAGGAAGATTCCTGGCACACATTTCTGTTAGAGGCTGAGTCGACTCCAGGGCTATAGTGCGGCTTGGAGGATTAGGTTAGTTGAAAATATCTACCTCAACGGGACTCGAACCCCGCTACCTTCCGGCTTGTAATATAGTGCCTCAACCAACTACGCCACCGATTTATGCAATGTAAATATGTCCTGGAGCGGTCTAAGGCATGTACTGTCTTCGTTCACTCGGAAACCGGGGTCGTTGGTTCGAATCCCACTCAGGGCATGGATGTTTAGTTTGTGTGTATGCGTTTTTCTGTGTTTGTGTACAGGTAGAGGCCTTGCGACCAGCTGATCACCCGCCCAAGGAGTCCTACCGAATGTGTAAGATCTAGAAAAACCGAAGTGAACGGAGAAGTTCGTGGAGGTAGGCCTAGGCCCACTGGGGTTGTAGTGCCAAGGAACAAAAATGTATGTCCTGAGTATCTTAATTACCGATATACTTTTCACCGTCAAATTGGGTACTATTTTTCTCAAATGTATTACCTGCCACTACGATGTATAACGCATTTTTAGAGGTGTTTACAATGCACAGCGCATAACAGGGGTCAGATGTGATCGAACGATCACAGAATACACACGCGATAAATTTTGCGACGTGCTCTTAACCGTCGTGCTGCGAGGGAATACGCGCTACGTTATTCTCGTCGACCCGTTTCCACAATCAGAGCGGCGTCTCCGTGAGGCAGAAAGTGTAACACGTTCGGCACACGTGAATGCAAGTCACTCACGGAGAGTACGGACACGAGGCAATCAAGAAGACAAACAGGAGCTGTGGAACGAGAGCTGCAGGCAAGCTCACACTATATGGCACAATAACTGTGACTTTCCCAGCCGAGGGTCTGCGAAGTGCTTCTTGACGATCTGTTGCATGGATACCACTAATCACGGAGCTCACATTTGTTTGCAGAAGATCGTCCTCTACGGATGCATTTTTATGAATATCTACATCAACACATAGCAGATGAATTCTCTTTTAATAAAATTATACGGACAGACGAAGCATGTTTTACGCGTGAGACTGTGTTTAATGTCCACAATAGTCATATCTGGGATTCTGCTATACCCTTCAACGTCGGCATTTGAGCTGGGATCATCAAGGCATTATCTGAGAAGCTGGCTGCTCAACAATGTTGTGATTTTCCGAAAACTGTTCGTCCGGGAGCTGCTTGAAGATGTACCTTCAGCTGGGAGGCAGATGTTGTTATGGCTTCAGCACGATGGAGCTTCAGAGCAGTATGGGAAATGTATGCAGCTGTTATTGAACGCGATGTATGCAGGAACTATTCTACTGGGGATGCTTCATGCCTTCAGCTGTGAGGCAGAGGTTGTGTCTCTTCAGCGCGATGGGGCTCCAGCGCACTATTGTGAAGATGTCCAGCAGTGACTGACTGAGACATATCCAGAAAAGTGGACTGGAAATCGAGGACTGATTTCATGACACCCTTGGTCCCGGATCTAACTTTGAAGGATCTCTTCATGTGGGGATACCTGAAACAGCACGGTTATGCTGTCCCTCACATGACTATCGAAAATCTCGTGGCTAGAATTCAAACAGATGTGACAACGGTCGAAGCTAATATGTTAAGATTTGTTCGAGGGAATGCCTTACAGATCAATGGCGTCCGTCTTGAAATTGACAGAAAGAGCGTCAAACTACGACGCGCCCACGTTATGAGCCTTTGGTACCTTGCTCCACTTGACGGTGAAGTTTATCAAACGTCAGTTTATCAGTTTTTGGAATTCGTTTTTTGCTGTACTTCAAAAGGCAAATCTTTGTATTTCAGTACTTATTTCAGCTACTTTCCTCAGTACGTCCTTTATCGGATGGTACAGAAACATCGATCAAGTTACACGTTGCTTTTTTACTTTTATATTATGATTTTTGTATGTTGTGGTTCTGTCTGTTATAATTTGTTGGTTCCAGAGCATAGCGGTTAATTATCTTCACTTATTTCAGCTGTCTATTTCACAAGAACCACCTAGGGGACACACCACTTCTCCCATATACAAGGAATACAAACAAGGAGAAAACGCAATCATAAGGTAAAATACAAGCTAACAAAACACATACTACATCAGCAGAAAACCAGGAAAACCCTCAAAGAAATATGTCGGTAGAAGAGACATCTACGCACAAATATTACATACAAAAGACTAAGGAAGCTTGTAATATACGTTTAATTAAGTAAATAATTTAAAGTAAAGCTCTCCCTGTAACAGGCCGTGAAGGCCCATCGGGTTGTGAGACGTTAAGGTTCCCACATTATATGGAAAATGGGCTAAAAGATGGCGGTAAGGTTGTCAGCCTTACGCGCTGGCCGCGCTTCGCTCCCCAGGAAAATTATTTAATTAATTCCTGCTACTCATTTCTGTTAGAGGCTGAGTAAACCCCAGGGCCTTAATCTTAGAAGTAAGCATACATTTTTATATATAACAGAATTGCATACTACTAAAAACTTTATTTCAATATGTAAATACGCCCCAGTGTGCGAAAACTTGCAGACGAATACAGGTGAATGTAGAAAAGTCAAGGCCCTGATGATGGCTTAATCAGCCGAAACATGTTGTTAAGATATGATGAATGTACACCGGTGTGTCCATATTGCTTCTTGTAGTGACGAAGAAAGAATAAAGGAGTTTGACACAAAATAGGACGCTACGATATGATATTTCTAGTCATTATGAGAACTTGTAATTCTAACTTCCTCTGCATGCGCTACAAATGTTTTCTATGTGCTGATTTCTTGTCAATTACTGACCAGTTTGTCCATGCCATCTCCTCTCTCGCCGTTCTCGTTTGTGTCCAACTTCAGCCTTACTG